GTACGGGGGACAGAACTGCCGGGAAATTTGAAAATGACAAAAAGTGACATTCACTAAAATCACTAAAATCACATAGTATAACATTCCTGTATCAAACCATTTCACATACATTTTGTCCCGAGTGCTTTGTCCGGCGCCCTGCCTGCATTTTTACTGTTCTTTCTGCCTGGAAACTGAGAAACGTCCATGGCGTCCAAAAAAGCGTCCCTTTAGGTCAAAAGTGGTTTTAGACCGGCTAGAGAACAGCGATAGTAAATCAGAACCACTTGCAGAATTGAGTGATAATGATTCGTGGGGGAAATTCCTCATCAGACACTGAAAACGATTCTGCGACTTTGCTCAGAGATGTGCGAACTTGACGCTATATTTCACATTTCAGTGTTTTTGGTTTGATTACATTATTTAATTAAATTTAATATTATTATATTATTATTTTTTATGATTATTTATTAAATTATAATTTATGATTTCATGTTTCAAATTTTATCATACCCGGGATGTTTACTAGACTCTTGTTCGGACAGATTTCAGTGAGTTATTCCTTAAAATTACAGGCCTACAATAAAAAAAAAACTAATATATTTCCATGCAACAAAAATGTACCGCTTTGAGCACAGAAATACTGACATAATCAGGCCGCTAGGGAGGTTTGTACAGTTCCTCATGTTGTGGTGACCCCCAACCATAAAATTATTTTCGTTGCTACTTCATAACTGTAATTTTGCTACTATTATGAATCGTAATGTAAATATCTGATATGCAGGATGTATTTTCATTGTTTCAAATTGAACATAATTAAAGCATAATGATTAATCACAAATATTTTTTTTTGCAGTAGCTGATGATTTTACATTTACCCAGTAATTATAATTCATTAAGTGTCGTTTTACCTCCAATACTGCTGCTTTTAACACAGCAGCTGCTTTCTACACAGTAGCTGCTTTCAACACAGTAGCTGCTTTCAACACAGCAGCTGCTTTCAACACAGTAACTGCTTTCTACACAGCAGCTGCTTTCTACACAGTAGCTGCTTTCAACACAGTAGCTGCTTTCAACACAGCAGCTGCTTTCTACACAGTAGCTGCTTTCAACACAGCAGCTGCTTTCTACACAGTAGCTGCTTTCAACACAGTAGCTGCTTTCAACACAGCACCTGCTTTCTACACAGCAGCTGATTTCAACACAGTAGCTGCTTTCAACACAGCAGCTGCTTTCTACACAGTAGCTGCTTTCTACACAGTAGCTGCTTTCAACACAGCAGCTGCTTTCTACACAGTAGCTGCTTTCAACAAAGTAGCTGCTTTCAACACAGTAGCTGCTTTCAACACAGCAACTGCTTTCTACATAGTAGCTGCTTTCTACACAGTAGCTGCTCTTTACACATGTGTGACTGGTTCACATAAGTACATTATGGTGCCAACCCTTTCACATACACCTGTATTTGTACAGGGTGTATGTGATGGGGTTGGCACGATGATGTCATTATGCTGGGTACTCATATGTGGGCGTATCTGCATGTGGGCAGACCCGCCTGGAGATGGATAGAGGAGCGGTGTCTCGGTTCCTAAGACCATCGGAAATATGTGTTTTCCAATGGTCTTAGGCGACCCCTGTGAAAGGGTCGTTCGACCCCCAAAGGGGTCGCGACCCACAGGTTGAGAACCACTGGCCTAGAGTGTCAGCGGGGGACCTTAGAAGAGGTGGATAAGGGCTGCTGTTTTCAATACCAAAAAAAAACAGGGCCTTTACAACAGCATTATTACATCATTAAATGTACTTTTTTTAAATACAAGCAGTGTAATTATCTGAATCTGACCTAGTATAAGCCTCCTGCAGCCCCTGTACAGCAGAGCTCTGACTTAGAAAATGAGAAGCAAGAGAAGAAGCCAGTGTGTTCATATGCTGATAAGAATGGCTTTAAAAAATGGCATCATTTCACTGGGACACGGATTGAACCTCTTATTTCAGCAAATTTCCCCCCCTGTGTATAACACCCACCAGGGAATAAAGAGTGACATTGCTGACAGACGACATCCCATCTCTATATATAGTCCATATTTCTCCTCTGAACATAGCGGATTACCGAGAGCATTACCCTTACACGAATACGGGTGGGGAAACTTAGCTGGGGGATGCAGATGAAGAGATGAGACCGGCTAATTACATCCCTATCCAATTACAAAGTCCTGCTGTAAAATCCCAGCCATCTCATATTAAGGGTCAGGTGGCCAACTTCTATTGAAAGGCTTATATTTTACTCAGTCCAAAGATGGATTAAAGAAGAACTCCAGACAAATGTACAGCTGAGTAATACGTAAGTCATACATATAGCTCCCTAATTGTGTCTGCATTTTGTCATTTGTTACACAGGGTGGCACAAAATGTAGAAATCAGCATCAGATCTGAGCTATGCAAAGATCCACTTTTCGCATTGTGTTTTTATAGGTTCAGGGCCTCACTGGCCACTGCAGTCTGTGTGATCTGAGCCAAAGGTAGGCACACCCAGATTCAAACAGCGCAGGTAATTGGCGCTGAGAGAATGCAATAAACACCATAACATAAGGGTGCAATATCAGAGAACATACAGGTGTACCTCGGTTTACGAATTTAATGCGCTCTCCGGGACGTTTCGTATTGCGAAAAATTCGTAAACCAACACATGGTTTCCCATAGGAATGCACTGAAAATCAATTAATCCGTTCCGGAGGTCATAAAAAAGTTTAAAAAAAAGTCTCTGTCACTATATGTCAGTGCCAGTTTTTAAATGTAATTACCGGCTTTTTTTTTCCCCCCTTCACTATAGCTCAGAGAATCAGCTGTCACTTTCCCCCCAGCTAAAAGAAAGAAAGTTTCCTTTTAGTTTATGTCAGGGCTCCAGGTATGACCAGAGGAGTGTGGACTGACACAGGGAAACGCAGGCTTCAGATATGGTATAAACAATATAATTTATTAACACTAACAATACAAAACGCAGTGCAAAACTAAACATAAACACAGTGCAAACAAACCAAACCACCTACAGATAACAATACATACAATGCAAGAGTCGTCAGGCAGGCCGGGTCAGTAGCAAACGGGCAAACGGAGTACCAGGAACAGGCGGGAGAGTGGTCGGGGTCACAAGCTGGGTTCAGTAACTCACGGGCAGCGCGGTGCAGAGGGTCAGGCAGAGAATGGTCAGGGTCACAAGCCAGGGATCAAGAAGGAGAAGTCAGCAGAGGTCAGGATCAGGCAGGGTCTGCAACAAGTCAGGCAGGAACAGGAACACAGGATACAAGATACAGGGGCCCATGGAAAACCACACACCAAGGCCCTGACTGTGAGTCTGGCCATTCCTTAAATACAACCCCTGCAATCAGCTTCAGGTGTTTGGCTGACTGCAGGGTTGAGTCTCTGATTTCTGAGAGCACCCGCTGGCCAGCCCTGGTACTGCAGCCCACAAGGCAGGTGAGTCCCACCATTACTGGCAAGTCCATTCCTGACAGTTTATTTCCCCAGTTAAAAGAAACAATGTTTCCTTTTAGTATGTTTCATGAGATAAAAGAAACAAAGTATCCTTTAGCTCTGGGGAAAGTGACAGCTAATTCTGCGAGCTATAGTGAAGAAAAAAAAAAGCCGGGCACTTGCATTTAAAAATCAGCACCGACATACACTTCGTATTGTGAAAAAAAAATGTAAAAAATTTGTAAACCGAGGCATTATTTTCAATGGATTTTCATTCGTAAACCGAAAATTACGTTAACCAAGGCATTCGTAAACCGAGGTACCCCTATATATTAAAAAGTCCATGGAGTCTATGGCATAAGAACTATATAGGGGCAGCTCCCCATAGAGTGAAGCAAAACTCTGTGGGAATATAAAAAGAAACAGAAGGGGGGCCCCAGCCTAAGTGCAGTATAACATACACGTTTATTAAAAATAGCCAAATAATTACTCACAACTGAGGTAAGTATATGGGCGGTTATCGGGTCCCAAAAGGACATATGCAGGAGCCGGTGTGTGTCCACTGGAGCCTGGGTATTTGATACTGCACTTAGGCTGGCGCCCCCCCAGATTCAAGAATGGTGATTGTAGCTGGGAACTGGAGGTGCTGGACTCTTAGCCTTAAAGAAACTCTATTGCCAAAACCATTGATTTCAACAACCATTTTCCATAAGATTATATGTACATTAATGTATTTTATCTGCCTGTAACAGCCTCCTTTGTATAGACATTGTAAAGGCCTGAGGCCGCTTGTAGGCAGGGGCGGTTTGTTTACTCCACTGCAGGTGGCATTCGTACCAAGTAGTACCTCAGCCTGGAGAGAAACTCCAAGAGAAAGAACGTTTCTCTATGGTTTCCTGGGTCAATGGAGCAGCGTTCCGGTTGGCTATGTTGCACCTACAGTATGTGACCTTTGGTGGCCATATTGGGTCAGCAGGGTCTATTTAAGTCCCAGCCCCCAAGTTTGGTGAGCTTCCGGAGTGTGGCTAGTGTAGAGAGAAAGACCCTGCTTGTTAGGGAAAGAAACTAGCAGCAGGGAAAGGTTCCTGATGAGAAGGGAAAGATTAGGGGCTTGCTATCCTGGAAAGGAGCTTCCCTGTTGGGACCAGACCAGCCGGGCAAGGTCGCGTTTCACTTCCTCTACATCTGACTACATTGAACTGTGAGCTATTTTCATGGCGGCGTTATCCTGCCAGGGTGTCTGCAACATTGGTATTCTGTTCAATACAAGTTCCAAGTTTTGCTACAACCGAACTTGGTGTATTTACTACCTGCTCCATGATGCACCTCCCCACATTTGGCGTAGTCTGTAGTATTCAAACCTGTTCAAACCCACATGCTGCTAGATGCCACCGTCTTGAGTTTGGGTCTCAAAAAATCCACTAAATTGAAGAATGCCCCATAGCATGAGTCAGTAGGAAGAATGTTCCCTTACATTGGAGGTCGGTGGGAAAAATACTCCTTACATTGGTGGTTAGTGAGAAGAATGCTCCCTACATTGGTGGTCAGTAGGAAGAATGTCCCTTAAATTTGTGGTTAGTGGGAAGAATGTTCCTTACATTGGTGGTAAGTAAGAGGAATGCTCCTTACATTGATGGTCAGTGAGAAGAATGCTCCTTACATTGGTGATCAGTGGGAAGAATGCTCCTTACATTGGTGATAAGTAAGAAGAATAATTCCTTACATTGGTGGTCAGTGGGAAGAATACTCCTTACATTGGTGATCAGTGGGAAGAATGCCCCTTACATTGGTGATCAGTAGGAAGAATGTCCCCTTACATTGGTGATCAGTGGGAAGAATGCTCCTTACATTGGTGGTCAGTGGGAAGAATGTTCCTTACATTGGTGATCAGTGGGAAGAATGCTCCTTACATTGGTGATCAGTGGGAAGATGCTCCTTACATTGGTGGTCAATGGGAATAATGCTCCTTACATTGGTGATCAGTGGGAAGAATGCTCCTTACATTGGTGGTCGGTGGGAAGAATGCTTCTTACATTGGTGGTCAGTGAGAAGAATGTTCCTTACACTGGTGATCGGTGGGAAGAATGTTCCTTACATTGGTGGTCAGTGAGAAGAATGCTCCTTACATTGGTGATCAGTGGGAAGAATGTTCCTTACATTGGTGATCAGTGGGAAGAATGCTCCTTACATTGGTGATCAGTGGGAAGATGCTCCTTACATTGGTGGTCAGTGGGAAGAATGCTCCTTACATTGGTGATCAGTGGGAAGATGCTCCTTACATTGGTGGTCGGTGGGAAGAATGCTTCTTACATTGGTGGTCAGTGAGAAGAATGTTCCTTACATTGTTCATCGGTGGGAAGAATGTTCCTTACATTGGTGGTCAGTGAGAAGAATGTCCCTTACATTGGTGATCAGTGAGAAGAATGCTCCTTACATTGGTGATCAGTGGGAAGAATGTTCCTTACATTGGTGATCAGTGGGAAGAATGTCCCTTACATTGGTGATCAGTGAGAAGAATGTCCCTTACATTGGTGATCAGTGGGAAGAATGCTCCTTACATTGATGGTCAGTGGGAAGAACGCTCCTTACATTGATGGTCAGTGGGAAGAACGCTCCTTACATTGGTGATCAGTGGGAAGAATGCTCCTTACATTGGTGATCATTGGGAAGAACGTTCCTTACATTGGTGATCAGTGAGAAGAATGTTCCTTACATTGGTGATCAGTGGGAAGAATGCCCCTTACATTGGTGATCAGTGGGAAGAATGCCCCTTACATTGGTGATCAGTGAGAAGAATGCTCCTTACATTGGTGATCAGTGGGAAGAAAGCCCCTTACATTGGTGATCAGTGAGAAGAATGCTCCTTACATTGGTGATCAGTGGGAAGAATGCTCCTTACATTGGTGATCAGTGGGAGGAATGCCCCTTACATTGGTGATCAGTGGGAAGAATGCTTCTTACATTGGTGATCAGTGGGAAGAATGCTCCTTACATTGGTGGTCAGTGGGAAGAATGCTCCTTACATTGGTGATCAGTGGGAAGAATGCTCCTTACATTGGTGATCGGTGGGAAGAATGCTTCTTACATTGGTGATCAGTGGGAAGAATGCTCCTTACATTGGTGATCACTGGGAAGAATGTCCCCTTACACTGTTGGTCAGTGGGAAGAATGCTCTTTACATTGGTAGCCAGTGGGAAGAATGTCCCCTTATATTGGTGGCCAGTGGGAAGAATGTCCCCTAACATTGGTGATCAGTGGGAAGAATGTTCCTTACATTGGTGGCCAGTGGGAAGAATGCTCCTTATATTGGTGATCAGTGGGAAGAATGCTCTCTATATTGGTGATCTGTGGAAACAATGCCCACTACAGTAGTGGTCAAATACAATGCCTTTACCAATAGCTGCAAGGATCATTGGTATCCTGCCACTGGCTCTGCCAAGTTGCTTTGGACATGGAACTATGCAGGCACCATTACATGGGAGGTCAAACAGCCACAGATCAAGGAACCTCAAGCAACCATCTGAGGAACCTTGTTTGGGAATGGCTGCTCTTTGCTGTTCCTATTCACTCCAAAGAGGAGAGGGCTATAACATAAAAGGAGGGAGAGGTCTGTGATAGGGAAATAATATTTTCTAGAGTAGTCAAATTTACTTGCAAATTCAGAAGCAAGTAAATAAAAATTATAAAAAAATTTTAATAAATTAAAAACACTGAAAGTCGGTTTTAATACTAGATTTTTCAGTGCTTTTACCTGCTATTTTTTTTTTTAGGTTGGTGGCAGGGTCTCTTTAATACAAGGGATTCTACTGAAAGTGACACTTCCATGAGTGTTGACCCCTTTGCATTTCTTTCCCCAGCTGTACTCCATTGTTTTTCTAACCAATGCCTATGTCACTAGAGTATATGGTAGTAAACTGCTGGTCAGTGGAAGGGACCACTGAAAACATTGGGGACATGGGAGATTGACATTTGAGGAAGTGTCGGTTTCAGAAGTAGCATAATATCATAGTAGCCAATCAGACTTCAATGTTCTCTAACCAGATCAGTGCTGGGTGATTTCTGATTGGTTGCTCAGGGCAATTGCACTTTGGACATTGTTGCTCTTCTGCAGCTTGTAGACTTTATTGATTTATTCCTACAGTTGATTATATTAGCCAGAGGCAATTTGAGCGCTCAACTGATGACCAAGGTCCTGAAAATAACCCGAGCAGACAGCTAGAAATACACCAGAAGATTAAGCTTCCATGTGTCTGACAACGCCTTCTTCCAATATTCATAAATGAGCCGTTCTGAGGGCATTGTGTCACTGGGAGAGAGCTGTTTAATTCATCAGTCTAGACCGAATAAGAGCTGCTCAAATTACAGGATCGGCCAACTTTTCTGTCTGTGGCTGGAAGTCAATAGTAACCTGGGGAACTATGCCAGGGTAAAACACATACAGGACTAAATAAAAATGAGAATTTCTTCATCTTGTTAAAGGGAAAGTATAATGTATTGTCAATGAGCACGTACTTTAACTACTTGAGTACCAGCCTGTATTACCTCTTCCTCTCCAGACCATTTTTCAGTTTTCAGAGCTGTGACAGTTTGACTGACAACTACTCAGTCATGCAATGCTGTACCAAAATTAAAGCGGAGTTCCACCTGAAAAAAAATAAATGAAAGTCAGTAGCTACAAAAACTGTAGCTACTGACTTTTAAAATACAGATACAGGGGCGGACTGACCATTTGGAGACTCGAGGTCAGTAGGGGGCCCCATGAGATGCCCCTGGTACCTTTTTCATAGGCTTTTTTGAGTTTGGGCAAGGACACAGGGACCCCATGATCCCCTATTGCCCGGGGGCCCCATGAGTTGTCAGTCCGCCCCTGTACAGATACTTACCTGTCCCTCAGTCCAGCTGTGTCCTCACCACCATTGGTTTCACCAGCCATCTTCTCTCCCTGGTGCTGGCATCTTCAGTGTGGGCACCCAGCTGTGACATCTTGCAGCTTCACAGCTGGGTGCCCACTGAGCATGCGCGAGAAGCGCTGCGCTTTGTGAATGGTCCCATAGTCTTTTGGGACCTGTTATGTGTCCCAAAAGACCACGGGGAAGGAGAGGGGAAGGACAACTACCGCTTCCATTCGCCTAGGCCACAGGGGTCAAACTGGCGGCCCTCCAGTTGTTACCAAACTACAAGTCCCATGAGGCATTGCAAGATTGACAGTTACAAACATGACTCCCAAAGGCAGAGGCATGATGGGACTTGTAGTTTCGCAACAGTTGGAGGGCAGCCTTTTTGACAACCCTGGCCTAGGCGATCGCAGCAGAAGTGAGAGCGGGTATCTGCCAAATTCGAGTACCCGCCCTCCCGATCCCCGAAGGTGCCAATCGTTAATAGGGAGCGGGGGACAAAAGCTTAAAGTGGAACTTCTCCTTTTGGGTGGTGCTCCGCTTTAATTGTATATCATTTTCATGAGACAGATAGAGATTTATTTTGGTGGTATTTAGTAACCACTAACTTCTTACTTTTTTACTACATTGAGGAAAAAAAGACCAAAAATAAGAAAAAACTGTTTCCATTATGTTCTGTTCTAAAACATCAAATAAAAATGCTGGGACAGTACAAGCACACCCAAAATGTCCTTTTTTTGGAAAGTAGATACCCCAAGGTAATCTAATTTTGTTCCACAATCTTTTGGAAATGAAGAAACCTGCCTATATTGAGGGGGTTAGATGTGAAGCTTCGTAATGGTGCACTAGATACACTAAGGGGGAGATTTACTAAAACCAGTGTACACAGAATCTGGTGCCTTGCATTGTGTCAGTCACCGCTCTCTGCTCTGCCCCCCTCTCCCCATCCTGGGCTGTGGAGGGGGAGGGAGTGGCTGACTTGGGATCTCAGCAGGCTAAGCCAACTACGGCTTCAGACGTTGGGGTGCAGAGGCAGCTTCAGACAATTTTTTGGGGGGTGCTATGTTGGTGCTGAAAGGATAAGTGTGGGTGGGTGCCAAGCCCTTGTGGGTGTGGCCAAAAAGTGGGTGTGGCCAAAGGTGGGCATGGTCAAAAAGTGGGGTTTTTTTTTATGGTCTATTCCAGTGTTTCTCAACCTTTTTTCAGTCAAGGCACCCTTTAAAATTATGGACATTCCCAAGGCACCCTTTAAAATTAAGGACAGTCATGAGGCACCCCATTCTAAAGCGGGGTGCCTCTAGACTGTCTATAATTTTAAAAGGGCGCCCCATTCTAACATTTGAAAAACTATTCTAATCGTTTTATATAACGCAGCAACATCCACACATGTAGGACACCCAACACTAGAGGTGATTTATTCTTCCAAAGTAAATACACTTTTGCACATTGGTACTGACTAGTATTTGCATGTTTCTCCTCTCCCTCAGTTTTTTTCCATCACTGAGCTTATGTGACCCCAGCACTGATGGGAGAGGGGCAGGGGAGGATCAAACTAAGATGCTGTGCAGGCAGCTGACATCCTCCTTATCAACTGATGATGTCATTGGTTGTCAGGACGCTGGTAGCTAGAAGGTTGCAATGGTGCACAATGTAAACCTGTGGCTTTGTGTAACTAAAAGGCAGGCTTTTTTCATCCACTGGCTTGTAGACAAGTTTTGGGCAATTTGTAGACATTTTGCCAAGGCACCCCTGAGGAAACCTCAAGGCACCCTGGTTGAGAAAGGCTGGTCTATTCCACTGTTTAAAAAAAACAGGGACTTGGGCAACACTAAAGCAATGATACACCCAAGCAAGTGTCAGGGTCAGCAATAACCCCAGCAAGTGTAACGGCCAGAACATTATACTACTTAACCCCCAGCAAGGAACACATATAAACACCCAGCCTGGCACAATAATTAGCCCCAAGCACAGAATAATAATTAACCATCAGCATGGCAAAATAATAAAAATACTAAAATTAAAGTCGGGATCTTTCCCCAGCATGGACCGGCTGAGTGACGTCAGCCGACAGCTGGGGCTTCAGGACGAACTGCACTCCTCTGATCCACAGGAGAAGTACAACCAACAGAGCTTTGCCTTTAGAACCACTTTAATGATTACACAGCTTCATTCTTTTTATTTCCATCTAGAGTCCAGCTTTAAGAGGAAGCCATGACCGAGCCATGTTAAGGGTGATGTCAGTGGTTATCCATATGTTACACGATGTGACAGCGGCAGCCATGGGGGGGTTGT